GTACTGACCAGGCTCACACCTGCTTAGCTTCAGTGGGCTGCCAGTTGTGAGTTGCAGTGATATGGCTGCTGGCCATAAATGGCATAAATGGCAACCCTGGAGAGGAATACAAACATAAAGAGAATGCCTACAGTACTGTACCAGCTATTCTAGTTCATTTTGTGTGTGAACAATAGAAAACCTGTTCTGAAATCGTTTCCATTCTTATTTTTATTTGCATAGCAAACCTGTTTTAAAATACTTCAATGGTTTAATGGCCTTTACGTCAATGAAGATAAGGAACTAGAGCTTTGAAATGTGGGTGTGAGAAAGATCAACCGGCTGCAGAGACAACAGAAGAAACAGTATGTTAAATCTAATGCAGGACGATCCTTTCTAGTCATAGCTACTGAATTATCTGCTTACTTGACAACACTATCTGTATCATTGGTAACATTTTCCCAGTCCTTCCATTTTCCAAAAACAGAAACAAGAAACACAGTATTTTGGCTGTTGAGCTTTCTCAGTGAGAGAGAGGAATTATTAGGTTTACTAAAAAAAATTCAAAGCAGAAATAAAGGAATGAAAAAACAGTTCTGCTGCCTATTAACACGGGCCACACCCCAGACAATCCATTGAAGTCTCCTAATCTTGGCTTCAAAGGTACCTCAAAGCAAGTACAGAAAAGGTTTGTTCTCTTTTGTACATTTAAGAACTCTGATCCCAGCCCCTTCAGAACCTTTGAGAAGGACAGGGTTTGTCCTAAAAACATGCATGCAAGCTGAAAGACAAGGTCTAAGTATGAACAACACTGCCTGGTTTATAGTATCCACACCTTGCATATTGCCTACATGGGTGACAGAATAGTCTTGTACCAATGCACAGCGATCCCTCCTCGCACAGCTTGCTTGATTTGTTGTGCCATCAGTGGAAGGAGAACTTTAATCTAGAATTTGTGATCCAGAGTGTAACCACATCCAGTCCTGAACTATAAAACCCACACATTAATCGGGAGGTAAATATTCCTGGTAAGGGTCACAGCAACCCAGAACGTTTTCTAGAAGCAAAGGGCACAAAGCAGGACTCTCCTTGGATGGGATTCATGGACACACAAGCACATTTTAGAGGCACTTACCCCATACAGAAGGAACCTCAATGTGGAATCAAACTAAGGACCTGTGAGGGAGTTGTGCTAACCACCATGACAAAACCTGACCTATAACAACAAAGCCAAAACATATCTCCTCAAACTCTTTAAAATGTTAGCACACATGTAAATAGGATCATGAACAGGGTGGCACACAAAATGTATTTCCCCCACCCCTAAGTACATACAGACCAGCAGTGTTGATATAACCCTGTGTAATCAATCTGAGGAAGGAAATAACTCGAAACAATTCACTTGCATTGCTGTGCACCTGATGTCATTCAAAGTAACAAAGTACAAAGCAATTAACTGAAATGAATAAATCAAAAGCACAGGGCTGAGCAGGCCTGGATATTCACAAGATAAAGGGTAGACATTATATTTGTAATTTTAGCACCAACGATGAAATCACGGTGCATATTTAAGGGCACAATCCAGGATTAGCACTACCGCATACCAACAGAGGCACAAACTACTTGCTGCAGTCTCTCCAATGTAAATTTCATAGTATGAATCAGCACGTCTACAATCTCCTCCCAAATCAGTACTCCCAACAGGAATCATATCTGGGGCTCCTTGTGACCTTACTTTTCATCCTCCTCACATCGAAAGCGCACACAACTGGTAGCCATTCTAAAACTAAATCCTTGAACAATAAGGTTTCAAATAGTGCTGGAATCTGGCAAGGGGGAAGGATATACTGTAGCCCACAGTGTGGCTTCTGGGAACACTCTACTTCCTTGTATTAACATACTGATAAGCAGTGTACCTTACAGTAGTACTTACAGCACAATCCTTCACCATAACTATTAATAAATACAGAGGTAAACCACAGGCATTGCCTGCATTCTACCACTGCCATTAACAACACATAACCACAATAGAGGTGTATACTGAGTTTAACTACTCTTTTGGCATACAGAATATACGATTGTATTGACAATTCAAACGTAAAGAAAAATGAGGGCTACCATGTCAGTTACTAAATGCTAGCATCAATGAGATACATATATTGCAAATACGGGATTATTTGTGATGACCCGTGGATGGAGGAATTTCGTGTCGAAGTAGTGCTTACTTCAGTAAGAATTGAAGGACTTTAGATAAAGCTACCGCCTGTGGAAACTGGTGATGATGCTCAGTCCACTGAAAGGGGTCTGAACGAGAAAGGCATATGGCGACGGCATTGCTAATCTTGTCATTGTGTACCGAGGGCTGTACAACCGCCCTGTGTGCAAGTAAAGCGAGTTGACGATGGTAACCATGGAAATTGGTGGATGGGGGAGGGGCGGAGGCTCACATAGGGATCTTGATCGTAACCTTGTCGATTTCTTGAATGCAACAAACCCACCCTTTAAATCTTCTGCGCGGCCGGACTGAATTCATAAGTACTGTACTCACTTGGTCCGAAGAGCTTGCCATGCAGCATCGATATCAGCGTACAGGTTCTTCTCCGACGGCTTTCCAGAGCTGACCCCGTATCCCGAATAATCGTAGGAGAAGATGTTGCAGTTGATCCTGGAGCCCAAACCGATATAGAAGCTGCACATCTGGCCGAGGTCCACCGCGTTGCCGTGGGAGAAAAGCAAGGTGTAGCGGCTGTTCGGGGCGCACCGGACAAACATGCAGCCGACCCGGTTCCCGCGGCTGGTCCTGGTGTAGAAGACCTCCACGGCGTCCAGCTCCCGCTGGGAGTACTGCCAGTCGGCCCGCTCGTTCAGATGGAGGCTGCATGTTCCGCTCGCCTCGTCGGTCTGGACCGAGTACGTGGGCTCCGGGGGCAGGAAGGCGAGCTTGGCGGCGATGCGACTCGGGCAGGGCGGGCAGCAGAAGAGCCAGCACAGCTCGCCAAGAGAGAAACCGTTCATCCTAGGGCCTTGCTCGGGCATTGAGACTTGATTGTAAACAAACTAATCCCCGTTCCTAATAAAACAAAAGAATGCGACTATAAAGCCAAGCGCTAACATACAATTGCGGTGGTTTATTTTTAAATGATTAAAACACCGCTGTCAACATAGTTGAAGAATAGTTCTCATACAGCGCCGTCTTATAAAAGAGCCCTTGTGTATCAAGCGAATTATTTTTTTTAAAAAAACGAAGCATTTACAACCTGTACTGTAAGACAATCACAAAGCAGGCAGCCATGGTTCAAGCTCGACAGTAGCCAACCATTCAGCACAACTTCCGGGTTAGACAGCGGATATCCTAGTGGTGCTGTCAAGTCAACACAGCGTTCCTGCATTTGTAATTTATTCATTACTTATCGAACCAAGCGCTTCGGACTTCCTGCGCACTGCTTGAAGCGAAGTGCGTGTCATGCACACAGCCCCGTTGTCATACGCCTATTAGTTTTTTGTGCCATTGTGCAGATTGATATCTGTATATGCAATGTATTTAGCATTCGTGTGGAGTTCATTCAAATACCATTTTTGAAACTAATGACATGCAAAAATTAAAAATATCATAGTACATGCTTTTGATTTTGTGTTAGTCTAACAATCACAAATCCAGACCCCAGAACACTTCATAAACACGATTTCCACAGCACTGCATTAAACGTTAAATCCTCAGACGAATATACGTTATTATACCGAACACAAAAGTGGTTTAAGACAAAAGTGCTCTGTACGGTAAAATTAACTATGAATTCAGACTTTTCTCATTTCTCATAGATTTTATGATGGTGACCATCCAAAATGACACTTGTTAAATGGACAGTTACTGTTTTTGTTTTTTGTTTTTTTTTTTGGGGGGGGGGGAGTCTGGCACAGGTAGTGTTACCACCTGTTAAGCTTTTGACAGGATTGTTCTTTTTCTGAGGCAGCAGTCCTGGAAAATCTGAAAGTCATCCTGAGACATTAAAATGTCTCATATTTATTTTGTCAGATCTGTGATACTGAGGTTAGCATTCACAATAATATTTTATTCATTTTGTTCTCCTCACTTCATAATTCTGAGCTATTCTTCGATGCTAAACATGAGGTTTTGCAAGTTCATTTGCTAGCTTAAGTCCATCTTCATTACCATGCAAAGTTACTTCTTGTATTATTGGCTACATACAGCAACAACAATTAACAGCTGTGAACAGCCAATAAATTACAAGAACTAACAGGCATGTTACCTCTGATACCCAAAAACTGAGTCATATTTGGGTAAAGGCTTGGTGTAGAGTGGTTTAGATTTTGAGAATGGAGCAATAGATGTGAAACAGACAATAATGCAATGCTCATCTCCAACCACAAAACATATCGATCTGTTACAGCAATAAGGTAATTTAAAAGTCAGTTTTCATGGGTCAGACTTTATTTTATGAAAGTGAACAATCCGAAGCAACAATGAAACATTCAAGGGAATCTGCTTTCAGAAACCCACAGCTCTTTATGTAAATAGCTGTCTCCTGTTCCCTTTTACATCTTCAGTTTACAGTATGTTCTTGTTTCACTGTTGACCTTGACGTTACACACTTTTGTTTTGTACATTGCATATGGAACTGCTCCTTATCATCTGAAAGGAAACATTGGCATCACAATTATGTAACCAGTGATTCACAGAGGTATCTGTAAACATGGACTATTCAATCAATACTGTAAAATCAAATTCAAATTCTTGAGATCTGAAACTTCAGTCTTGTCATGATACAAGACAGATGTACAAAGGTCAGCTTTTGCTGACATCTGAGTCACTGCAAAATAAAGTACATTTCGCTTAAATTGTTTTATGTAACATTTTGATCTGGTTTTGTTGTTTGTTTGTTTTTTTGGTCTCTGGCTGTAAGGGTTTATTTTTGAAAGGGTCTACTTCATGTATAAGATGTCCAGGAGATTACATGAAATTACCCTCCTTTATGTGCCTACCTCAGGTGGAAATGCCACAGCAGTTCATAGAATAGAGACCTCAGGAAATCAGGCCTGATGAAATCCTGCAGCTGTTTCATTTAGTGGGGAGAAAAAGTGTTCATCTTCCTTGTTTTTCCAGAAAGATGGAAGTCCTAAAGGGAAGAACATGAGCATGGGTGGAGCAAGATACTTTTATCTTAACTATATGTCACTTTGAAACTTGAAAAAATATACAATGCAAGTGAAAAAAATCAGTACTGTACAAAAAATACAGAATAGCTTTAATATTTACAGACCTTGCCCAGACTGTTTTTTTCAGCAATAAAGGAGAAAAAAAACGGGTAGAATAGTATTACTTTTTCTATTTTACCAGTAAGCATTAAATCTATGTAACTACTGTACAAACAGGAATAAAAATATGCTACTGTATTTTGAGAATTTCTGATTGCATTGTATAATTAGATACATTTATCACTAAAGTCAGTGTTACACGGAACATGATCTGAAGAGGGAATAATGTTATTTTCTTTATCTATGAGATACTCTTGTTCAATTTCCAATGTTATTTCTTCCTCAAAAGGAAAAAAAAATGGACTGAGCAGTGATGGTGAAAAAAATAAACATATGTTTCTCATTAGGTGTACCCAGACGTATTTAAAGACGAATTTGGACACCTGTTTGTAATGGAATTGTTTGGAACGAGACAGAATTCATAGTGATCTTTGATTCTGTCATACAGTTTACTAAAAAACATAATCACACATAGGAGACTTTACCCAATTTTGTCTGCAAAACATACAGTCAAGTTTTTATAGTTTACACCTGACTGTAGATGTAATTTTTTTGACATTCCTATACACAGCATATTTTTCACTTTCTAAGCGGATGTCTCATCTCATTAGTTATCACAAGGGTTTTGCTTAAGCCACAATGAGCTTATATAAGGTTTAATGTTTTGGTTTTCTTTACTTTTTCATAGATACATTTGAAATTAACACCATTCAAGTATAAATAGTATAGTCTAATAAATAATATAGTCCACGAGCAGGCAATTATCTATTTTTTTGATTAACTCTATAATTTTCCATTGAGTATTTAACAGCATTGTTTGTTTGCATATTTCAAATCAATGTCCTATTTATTCATTAAACTGCCCAATGTGTTTTTCCAAAAAAATAAATTCTGCTGAATTCATTATTTAAAAACAAAATGCATGGTAAGGAAAATGCTCTTACTTGAAAGAGATATTTCCTCTGTTTATTTTTGTCAAGGGTATGATTCATTTCTGCCCTTTGGAAATAACTCTACTCAGCTGAAAAAAGAGCATTTGGAAGCAAGTGGCTTATAGTTTTAAGAGGAAGTTTTTCTTTCTCCATATCAAAACTATAATTATATTTTTATAATTAAAATTATTTCTTAATGATGACACTGCTGTGGGTGAGGCTGAAATAAATATTCTTATCTTATCTTATCTGTTTTCTTAAACAGCCAAACCTCAATAAAATAGTTACATTAGGTAGCTGCATCAGCATGCGTATGCTGCAAAGGAACACGTAAAGGTTTATTCCATTCTGAAAAGAGAAGATAGGAAACACAACGTTGTGGCTCACAACTGAAGAAGACTCCACAGCCGAAACGTTGTGTTTTCTTTCTTTTCTTTTTGGTATGGAATAAACCTTTACTTGTTCCTTTGAAACCCTAATAAATACATGTTCAATTCTTTTGTGTCTACAACACAATAGGCATGAGAAAATCACGTTTTGGAAAACGTTCTGCGCTTTTCCAGCTGTTGGTAATAGAGCTTTTGTGTTGGTCAGCACCCGTTGTTTGCTGACTTCACTATGTAGATCTAAAATGGAACATCAGTATCATAGTATTATGTTTGTCAGCTTTACAGCACCAGTGTTTAATAACAAAAAGCTTTGTTTTAATAATTAATCGCTGTATCTTCTTCCAATGTCACCATTCTGCTTTAGTCGGGCTGTTGGCACACTGTTGCCTTGAGGATCAAATATCATAACCAGTACAGTTCAGCACTACAGTTCCTTGAACACTGTACTAGTTTATTGCCATGATATGAGCTACTGTGAATAACGGACAAGAGATTCTACCAACCCTTATTGCTTTTGGATGAATGTCAGTCTGAATTGTTCAAATGTTGCATGGGATCAGCACGTTTTGTACTTCGTTATCTGATGTGGAAAGTTTAGTAGTCATCCAGAGGTCATTTCTTATTTTTACTCATCTGTTTCAGAAGTTGCTTCAGTCCCAGTTAGTGAAAGCTCCCAGGGAATACAGTATATATACCACTGGCTGGAAGAGCTGAGTTGTTTCAATAGGAAGTATTTTCTAATCTGCCAGTGTCATTCTTTGCACCCTACAACACCTTAGTTCCTAAATGCAATGTGGAACATACCATCAGCCCTAGGATATCTGAACTTGTTAAACAACACTTCTCGCTAAATCTGTTGAAGTCTTAATATGTTGCTCTCATGAGGTACTGTCAGTTTTGGCAGGAAAAAGTGTTACATACTATTTATCCGATTTACAAAGAGCTCAAGGTTTTTAAAGATGAATGTGTAACAACTGCTTACAGGGGAGGTTTTCTAATCAGTGTATGCAAGCTTTTCACAACTATTAATAAACAGTTGCTGATAATATGTGATACCCTAAAGGAGACAATGAAGAGAGTAATACAATGTTTGAAACTCTGGAGTGTGGGTTTAAAAAAATATATTTTAATTTAAAAAAAGAGAAATGGTCTGAATACAGAGAATTCAACTTCAGGCTCACAAGTCAGAGAATAGAACTTTAAGTGTAGAAGTGTTTCCTTGATGCTGGTAACTTGGTTCATAAACAATAGTACTTCTCAATAGTCACCCACCAAACCTGGCAGACTTTTTGTTAAAGGTGTGTGTGCTTCAGCTTGGCTGACAGCCCCAGGCACTTCACTGCAACATGCTGAGCCTGTTAGGAAGAGCTTCACACATCAATCGATGGCTCATGGTCTGTAATTACACTTCTGGCTCTGTCTCCCTATTCCTTATAGAGCTGCAGACTTATTTGGGAAAACAGACAGCAGCCTTAGGAATGTACTGTACAAAGTGAGCCTATCCCATCACTTCCAACATCAACAGCAAAGTATTTTTAATAAATGCATTGTATCTTCATTGAACTGGAACGTGTTAACCTTTTCTAAGCATGGTGTTGATGCTTAAGTTAATGTCTTAAAAATATCATCAATTTATTTCCTTGTAAATGAAAACTATCAGTACTAAGTGTTGCTATTAAGATAAATCAGGAAGTTATGTAAAACCTCATTATGAATCAGTTTTGAGTGAGAAAATTGAGTGTTATTATTGATTGCTATTTTAATAATCAAATTTTCTACACAGTAACTCACAATATTCCCAGTCACAGACTAAACTTTACAAACTTTACAATTACAATTCTTACCAAGGTTAAGTTTTTTAAAAATGACAGTTTAACAATCTTTTATTTAAGGCCAATGTTTCATACATATATACAGATGTCAAAACTTGCGATGGTTATCACTGCAACTACCGGTTAGCTACTGGGATCAGTTCCAGCTTGGGTACCTTCTGTGTGGAGTTGGCACGTTCCTTATTCTAGACAAGTTAGTCTACTTGAATTGTTCCTTTCCCAGTGGTGGGGGGATTTAACTCGATGTGCTTTTTCACAGGACGATCGGCAGTAATTATGAGTCTATAGAATATCGAACCAAATGAAGACAGACTTCCATCTTGTTGTTTTGTTTAAAATAACACATTGCAATCATCCTAATCATTGTAATGTTTTATTATGAATGGCTGCAGTGGCATTTATTTTAGGATGTAAGAAAGTGTAATGGGTGACAAAGTTACAGTGATTATCATTGCTGCCTCACAGCACTTGGGCCCTGGGTTCAATTCCTGGGGTGCATGAAGTTTGTGTGTACTCCCCGTGTTCATAAGGGTTTCCACCAGATCTTCGGGTTCCTCCCACCGTCCAAAGACATACTGCTTGGTTAATTGGTTTCTGGGAAAATTGGACCCGGTGTGATGTGTTTGTTCCCTTCCAGGGTGTATCCTGCCTTGTCCGTTGCTTGCTGGGATAGGTTGCAGCTCCCCCTCGACCCTGTATTGAATAAAATGGTTAAAAAAATGGATAGATGGAAGTGTTACTGAAAGCATGTTCCCTCTAAAAATGGCTGGTCTTCAAGTAGATCTTGGAAGATATTTTTCTTAAGGGAATATTTCATAGGGTTAGATGTGCCAGGTTTGATAGGGTTAGATCTTGGCGCATGACTAAGAACCATTGTCGATATCTCGCCAAAACAATGCGGCGTTGCGCAGCTGGAACCTCAGGCACCTTCCCGATCAATCTTGGCGTCCACCAAGGCTCAGCCTTGTCTCCTCTGCTCTTCATACTTTGCACGGATACAGTGACCAAAGATATCCAAACGAGGCATCCATGGATGCTATTGTATGCCGACGATGTTATAATAGCAAGTGAAATGAAACACGGCCTCGAACAACAAGTACAGGAGTGGAAGACGCGCCTTGAACGATTCGGGATGAAATTGAACATCAAGAGGACGGAGTACCTGGAATGCAGTGATCAAACTGATGGCACAATCGCAGCTGGTGGGGTCCAACTGAACACAGTGACCCAGTTAAAGTACCTAGGCTCATGTGTCAACTCCGACTGCACTACCCTAGACGCCAAGATGCAAGTCAGAGCCGCTTGGATGAAATGGCGGCAGGTCACTGGAGTACTGTGCGACAAGAAGATCCCTTTACGCCTAAAATCCAAAGTCTACCGCTCCGTGGTCAGACCAGTGGCCCTATACGGAACTGAATGCTGGCCAACGACAAAGAAACATGAAAGGGCACTCCATACGATGGAAATGAAGATGCTGCGATGGACCCTCGGCTTGACAAGACTATACCATGTCATGAATGAAGAGGTGCAGAAATCACTCAAAGTCGCCCCAATCACTTAGAAAATGAGGGAATCGCGCCTGTGATGGTATGGACACGTACTCCGCAACAATGAAACATCAATGGCAAAGACCGCCCTCGAATTGAATGTGGAAGGCCGCCGGCCCCGTGGACGACCATTTACCCGCTGGCTGGATCGGCTGAAAGACGACAGGCGCCTCGCAAAAGTCACCTGCCGAGACGCCGCAGACTGTACGAAGTGGAAAAATCGGTGCAAACAAGCAGACCCCACATAAGTGGGAAAATACGAAGAAGAAGAAGATGTGCCAGGTTTAGTTATTGAGGTGCAGAAGTTGAGAACAGCATGAGGACATTGAAACCACAAACGAAAATATATATGTTTTTATGCAAAGAGTAATAATAAACACAGAATAAAGTATGGCAGGGAATCATTACTCCACAGATGATGGATATGTATCCCAGAAAATGTGACATGTTTGCAGGGAATGTGAGGCTTGTGGAGAAGGCAGGAGACTGGCTGGGGAAATCATGTGGAGCTGTCATTCTCTTGTAGGTTCAGTTTCATATTTCTATCAAAAGATAGAAAAGGCTAATGAGAGTACATGGGTATGTCTAAGCAGACAACACACATATACTGTAGCCTCCTGTTTGGTTACTTTACACAAAACATCTACTTTCACTTTTACTTTAATCATTTCATCTATGAATTATATTAACAGATGTCATAAACTGACTCAAGGTTAAAGAAGTCTTTGCAATGTCTTTTACATATGTACTGTAGTTCAAGTAGGTAGCTATGTCAGCATGTGTAAGCTGCAAAGGAACAAGTAAAGGTTTATTCCATGCTAAAAGGTGAAGAAAAGAGACATAACGTTTTGGCTTTGGATGTACAGTATATGACACATAATACTTTATAAAGTCTCTTATACATATGTAGTTTTTACACATATTAGGAGTGGTCAGATTACTTTTAGAGACTAGATTTCTCAGGTTCCTAGTTCATTGTCCTGTATAATGTATATAACATGGATATTTCTTATTCTTGCATGTTACTCTTGCAAAATTAGGACTCTATTCCCAGCCTCTCTTCAGTGGCAGAAATGGATGTGGATCGCCGGCATCCACATATAGTAGCCTGAAGATATTGAAGATGTATCCCATCTAGATGTGTCTTTCGGAGACAAGACACACACTAACAGCCCACTCAGTATTGATGGAATGGAAGTGGAAACAGTCAACAGCTTTAGGTTTTGGGGAATTCACATTTCTAATGATCTAACCTGGACTGTGAACACTGACTCTATCTTGATGGAGGCTCAGCAGCGCCTTTATTTCTTGAGGTGCCTAAAACAATGGGGGATGCCAGTACCTGTGTTGGTGAACTTCTACCGCTGCACCATCAAGGGATCACCGTGTGGTACGGCAACACCTCTTCTCGAGAAAGAAAGGCACTGCAGAGAATGGTGAATGTGGCCGAGATCATCGGCTGTGGTCTCACCGAGATTAAACAGCTCTATGAGGACCGCTGCTGTGGTAGAATTCTGGCCATCACAGAGGACAGTCTACACCCCGGGCATGAGCTCTTCACCCCACTGCCCTCAGGCAAGAGATACAAAAGCATACTGACACTTACCACTAGATTCTTCAATAGCTTCTATCCACAAGCAGTGCGATTGGAAAACACATTTAGCTATGCCCCTCGGTCCACACCTAAACCATCTACCTCATTATGATTTATTTATTGCACATCTCCAGTCATTGTTTAAATCTGTATTGCTTACATTCAACCTGTTTACTTGATTGCTTGTACATTGTCCAGTGTTTGTATATTGTCTTGATGTACTGTCTGCACTTTTAGTTCTTAGTCCACGTTTAGTTCAAGTTCAGATGTGTAGGGAGGCTCTACATTTCTCCTGGCATCATTGGATCCTGTCCTAACTTGACTAATTGTGTGGCACTTTCTCCTGTTCGGATCCCTGGTACCAGAAAGGGGTGGAGCTGTTTGACTGCCGTTTTTGTGTTGAAAAATTGATTGTATGGTACTTCTTTCACAGTTGTTTTACTTACATTTTAGGGTCGTTGGGCAGAAACATGGAAGAGGATAAAACTAATGGTGTTATGTAACAGAATTCTGGGAGGAGAAATTCTTATCCTATATATAAATAGCTGGTGGCTGCCCACAACTCTGCATTAAGTATGCTATTTTTTTACATTAAACATCTTGTTCTATCATTATTAGAATTTGACAGAACTGCTGAAATAGAAGGGGTGGAGAATTGCCTTGTTTTGTTCTGTTTTTGGAAAAATTCAAATAACAATAAACTAGTTCACAAAAAACAAGGATAGCTGTCAGGACAGAGATTTGAACATTCCCTTCCCTGGAGGTAGGGAAAAGCAGGAAAATCAGAATGAATAAATGATTGTTAGCTGAAATAAATACATACACAATCATCTGGTTATGTATTAGACATTTTCATGTGTTTAAAAATATAGTGTCTATTTGAAAGGAGGTGATTTTTTTATTCTGTGGTAGGAAATCATTTTTTTTAAATAATGAAAAGTTTTAAAGGAGAAAACATACTGTTTAGCTTATGCTAAAATAAGATGCTGTACAGAATGAATGTATTTATTTTCAAGGCAAAAACTGTTAAAATCCAGGGTCATGGCACTACTGATACAGTGCTGGTTCAGTTCATTGTTCAACACATGGTATTGTTATACCTTTGCGAAGTATGTGATTTCATCATGTAAATGTAGCAAATTTTAATTATATTTCTCATGAAATAATATGCACTTATAAACCTTGAAATAATGGTTTTAAATATGTCTTTATATGGTTACAGTTGCAGTTTTATGAATTTATTTATGTTACACGGTTTCTTAGAAGTTCTTTATATAGCACCTCAGTACTTAAATTAAACATAAAACAATTGCTATTTGGAAAAATAAATAAATACACATCTTATAACATTGTTACAATTTAGGAGTAAGGTAAATAGTGAGCTGGAAAAAAATAATTAAAATAAACCTAAATATCAAAGATATACCCAACCAGTAGGTATAATTTGTGGCACTAATATCTTTAACCTCTGGAATAGCTTTGGCGAGGAGTAATAATTTAAGAGTACATAGTCCAGACTTGATAGATAAATATCTATTAACAATGACAACTGTTAATGTAACAATCACATATCTTGAGAACACACAACATTACCTATTTGTTCTGCAGACCTTGAAAAACCCAGAATTCTAGACCTGTAGGTTGAAATTCTATAACATATCTTGACAGGCCAACAAGAAAATAAATAATAAAATCAAGCACTAAATCTGCCTTCCAACAACATGGAAAACAGAATGATTTTAGCCTAAAGACCCCACAATAAAGAAAATCAGAATCTCCTCAAATAAAACAAGGATGACAAGCTCTCACAAATAAGGCTCAGATTACTTAGCCAGAACCTGTACTCCAAGACTGATCAGAACAAGGTCACCTGGCACCAGCTTGGAGCAAATACTGGGTGATGTGTCTATCTATGAATTGGCTTCATCACTCTGCTCTCCTCCCCACTGATAGCTGATGTGTAGTGAGCGTTCTGGCGCACTATGGCTGCCGTTGCATCATCCAGGTGGGACTGCACATTGGTGGTGGTGGACGGGAGTCCCCATTACCTGTAAAGCTCTTTTAGTGGAGTGTCCAGAAAAGTGCTATATAAGTGTAAGCAATTATTATTATAATTATTATTTTGTCTGTCTCTCCATATTCCTTTCATTTCTCCACCTACTCCCTGTGCTTTTCATGCTGTGTTCCAGGACCGATAAAGACTGCAACGATTTACCGAGAAGTTAATTAGCTGTAGTGAACCCGCGTTGTTATGCTGCAGCCAGATGACAAATAGCTGGCAGCTGGGAAAAACAGCCACAGCTGGAGCCGTGCTGGTAGGTGACTGGAGACTGAAGCGGAATGGAACACGACTGCCAGCAGCAGGACAAGACGGGAAGCAGGACTGGAAACAGAATCTCAGGTCAGGATACAGCATGGCAGAGAGCAGCTCAACGACCCAGCCCCAGACATGGGTGCTGCTTGTCTGAGGTACACCACTAATCAAGGTTAACGAGCAGGCGGTTGGGACAGCCTGCTCAATCTGGTGCATGTACTGTAGCACCTGGGAAGTGTCAAACTCCTTGTGCTAATGTGACCAGTCCCCGAGGAGACTGAGGACTGAGATCTCACACCCACCTGGGCTTGACAAGAATATTCCTTTTGATCCTCTGCTTACCTGTCCGGTAACAAGAGCTTTCTTGCAAGATGAAAATACGTTATTCCAGAGATGCCCTACTTCCCAGTCTTGATGCTCTTTGAACATTTATGGGATGGACTGGGGCAATGTGTGGCTTCTAGGGCTCATAGACCAGGGAACAGGGACACGTTTGTCAAGACTCTCAGAGGATTGGGATAGAATTTCATAGAACAACATCTGCAAGCTGGTGCAAAGCATTTAGTCTGACATAGAGCTTGTATTGCTTTTAATGGTGACCATACATTCCACTAGCCTGTGACTTTCACAGCAGATCATCCTTTTGATAAGCCCTCTTGATGACCAATATTAACTATCACAATTAGTTTCACTACATCATGTCTGTACAATAAAATGTCAGCATACCTACTAGCTACTGTACAGTGTACCTACCATAAAAAGTATAATTTATTTTTCTCTGAATGTGTGACAGTTACATGCAATAGGTTAGTTTTGATATTCCACATAGTTTCCTTGTACTTGCTCTTCTTAAATTAAGACAAAACTTTTTAAGCTGGCTGAACTGGTAAATTGCTTTTGTAAATGTGTATTGAAATTTCATCTTACAACTGGAAGTATGATTGCATACTGGTGGATACATCTGTGTTTGATCTCCTGGATTCATACGTTTGAAACTTTACTTTAGATTTAAGAACTTACTAAAATAAGAAAAGTTACAAAGGAGAGAGACCATTAGGCCTGTCTAGCAGCTACTATTCTATTGACTGAAGTGTTTCTTCTGTTTCCTGAAAGAAGCCAGGTGTGACAGGCCTACCTCTCTTCAGGCATGGGCACTCCAATAACATACTGTAACTGTAACTGTAACTTTGACTCCCTTTATCGGCCATATCTACCATACTATTCTAAGTCCAGCCCAGGTAAGAAAGTGACTCTCAGCCTTCACCAATTATCTCACTAATGAAGAAGTGCACCACCAGTGAACCTATTTATGTGCAATAGAAGTCTGAACAGCCTTTAAT